GAGTGGTCCAACTTTTTTACGATCTCAGTTCTCATAGTGAAAAGGGATGGGTGCCACAAAGCTAAATGACAAATGGCTTGACAGGTCAGATTAGTTACACATATTATTAGCAGTCAGTGGTAAAACATATATCCTCTGTGATTTTTGGTGAGCAGTCTAGTCCTGGAGTTCAGCAAAAGTAACTAAAGCTTGAGATTCACATTATACTTTGGTGTTAATTTTATCATGATACCTAATTGTGTAATTTTACTTAACAAACTTTAAATTTTAAAAGAATTGGCAGATTTTACCTATATGTTGTTCTTTTAGGATGTGCCACATCCACAGGTTAATTGATTCAAAGATGCAGACCACTGGTATTTTCTTTACTTTCTTCTACTACTGTCTTTTGTGCTGTGTGCAATTTTCAGGTGTTTAAATCAGATTGGTGCCACATATATGTATTTTTTAAGATGGTGTTTTATAACAGTTCCTACTGAAAGCCTGGGAGGGAGAATATTTCTTCTTAACCTAATAGGAACAATTAGGTGCTAGGTTGGTTTACTCATGTTGTTTCTTATGAATCTTCTCATGGGTATGCCCTGTGTACCGTGGTTTTCACTTGATAAGCTAACCCGCACATTTTATCTGACTTTTAAGATATTGAGAGTTAGAAAGGTGGAAATATACCTCACCTCATGTAAGCTGTTGAAACCAATACAATCTTAGATATAATAAAAGAACGAGGTGGGTCAAAGGTGTAGCTTACCTCAGTCTTGTCATTATGCAACTAGTTTAGAACGTTTTTGACATTATCATTTCCCTATGCTTCCTTACCCTTCACCCTTCACCCTTCAGCTGGTAAGCATTGCCTTTTGTAAATCTTATTTCAAGTTACCTTAACATCCACTACTTTGACATGAAATCTTATGGGGTATCTTGCAAGTTGGGAGTTACATTTTAGTTAAACAAGATTTAGGGAACACGTCTCATTTAGAAAGCTAATTTATATAGTATCTGAAAGAAGTTCCAGGCCAGAGGATATAATTTATTAGATATGATTATCTATGGACTAAATGTCAGACTGCCCCCCACACTGAATCACTGGCACAAGAGAAAGGAAGAGAAATGAGTTTGGGGGTTATAAAATTTAAGGACAAAAGATTTCTGAGTATGAGAGAAACTACTATTGCCAGGTAAGCAGCAAGACGGTAAGAAATGACAGTGGAATTAGTGAAAATCTCTTGGAGCCAGATGGGAAAGTACTAGAGAATACCCTTTCTTCTACTCCCCAGCCCCCATGCTCAGTATTCCAGAGTGGTGTGTGGTCACCACCTTTCTTGTCAAAAGTTTACAAATGCTCCATATATGAGCCTTGATATCTGTAGGAATATTGCCCAGTATGGAAATTAACCAGAAAAAAAATTTATTGACTTTAGGTATTCACTCTTCAGGTGAATTCAGGACCACTTGGCCCCCCAATGTGTCTATTTCTGTGATTATTGGTAATTAATTTCCATTCATTAAGTGCTTTAGAACTTCCTAAATTAAGGTTGTGTTTGGTAGCATTTTTTCTAACACACAGAGAGAGTTAGGTCTGGATATAGTATTTCACTAATTGAGTTGCTTCAGTAGGAAAGAATCTAGATTTAAATCTCTTAGTTTACCAAGTAATATAGCTGCTATTAGGTGAATATTCTGGTCCATGCTATATTGAGACTAATTTTCATGGGTAGTTTATAAAAATCCATCCTGGTGTTTTGTAAGTATTAAGTGTTGGATCGTATTCAGAATTATAAAATGTTTACACTCTACTGAGCCTTACGGTGCCTCTAGTGCAGCATTTTCAAAAGTTTCTCAAGAAGAAAGGATTTTGTGGTCAAATAAGTTTGGGGAATGCTTGATTAAAAGAATTTGCTTAAAGATTCTAAAACCTTTAATATGATTTTATGCATGGTGATTATTCAAAGGAGGTATATTTAGTAATTTTTTAAACTAATTTAACTAGAAAACCTCTTTGGGGGAAGGCCTGATGCTGTACAGAACCTACTTTGAAAATGAGTTTTGTATAGTCTCCACCCCCTTACCTTACAGAGGAGGCAGAGAGATGGGCCCAGCAGTTTGGGGAAGAGTCTTTGTGGCATTCAGGGAACTGGGGAGTACATCAACCTCCCTATCCAAAATGGCCTAAGAGATGTTTCCACAAGGAAGATCAGCAGAGGGCCAGGCTTCTGAAAAGACCGCAATTTTCCAACACTGAAAAAGAGGAAGGAAGTGTTTTTAAAAACGTGCACTGATTGCTTGGTGCTCAGTCTCTGAAGCAAACAAGACCCCTGTGTGGAATGTTGATTCAGGAGAGTGAAGGGAAGGAGAAGGGAATGTTTTTGAGGAAAGTAAAAGAGGAGGGTACAGAATAGGCAGAAAGGACCCAGTGTGGGCAGGAAAAGCACCAGGACCCTTGACAGATCTTATCCACCACAACACTACATTAAGGTACTAATAAGAGTATTGAACACCTTGGCCTCAGTGGCATCAGGAAATCCTGGCAGTTAATTATTTAAATTATTTAAATGATGTGAAATTTCTTTAATGTAGCCAACACAAGCTTATATCTGATATTGGGCATAGTTCACATATAGCATCAAACCCTTATTTTAGAGAGTTACTTTAGCCTCTTCCCACATAAAACTTTTCTCCATAATAGATCAGTAATACAGAGTTTGAGACGTAGGCCTTTCCCCACCATCTAGCAGTGGTGCCAGTGAGCCATGAGAGGGCATGGACAAGGCCATGTGCCTGAGGGCAGTGAAAGGGCATGGGCAAAGAGAGGTGGGGAGGTAGATTGGATAGGGGAACAGATCCCCAAATGTTAACGTTCACTGTAAAATGAGTGCATTTTCAGTGTGTGGAGTTGAAAGTAAGTGCTTCTTTCATAATTAGTCCAGTTAGTGCCAATACTGTAATGAAGATATCAAGCCTCTTGACATGTGTGCATCCAATGGCCACAAGATAATATTAACAGTGAGATAATTTGACAGAGAGAATACAAACATGCTTAAGAAATTCAGAGTAAGGGAAAAGAGCCTTTGCTTAAGTTCTGGCTTTTCTACACTCTAATTCTGAGCCTCAGTTTCTCTTAAAGTGGGGGTGGTAGTATAGGTCATAGAGTTCTGGTAACAATGAAAAGTGGTAGCCTGAAAGCACCTAGACAGTTCTGTCATACTAACGTATAAGGTTGCCCAAGGAGCTCTGTAAAGAAGAAGTCATTTCTTTGATCAAATTTAAATAATATCTGAAAGGAAATTTGAGTTGAAGTTTAAAGAGTAGAGCAGGCAGCAGGAAACCATTGGGAAAAACAAGAGATTACATTCCTTGATAGGTTGAAGGAAGAGCCTCATTCCTTTGAAGGAGTCTTCTGATAAGAGGAGGTATTGGGGGGAACTTAGCACTCATGTTCTATAAGCAGAAAGGATTGTGGGAGATGGGCCAGTGCAGAGGTAAGCAAGCAGCTGGCTTAAAGTTCCCTGACCAGTGAGTCTCCTTATGTCAGTAGTAACAAGAAAGAGATAGTACTCTTTACCATGTGCTAGTTAATAGCTATGAGGAGTATTATCTACTAGAGGTACGAACCAGACAACTAAGGAAAAACTTTGGTAAATCAGGAATAACCTGTGATGTTTTCTTAGGTAAAGTAAACAAATATTACTTAAAGATGTAAGCAAAAAAGCTCAATAAATAGCATAATTATAGTATCCATGTGCACACAGAGAAATCTTTCTTGAGCTACATTTCCATCTGTAAGTAATTTTTATCTTATTAGTAGCATCTATATGAAAAATAGGAGAAAAATGTGTTGGATTAGTCCTCTTGTGTATCATATGCAAATTGCCAGCTATATTTTAAATGAGCACTCTGTATAAATTGTTGACAAGTGAAAGAATAGAAGGAGTCTAAGTGGAGAGACTCTAAATGGACTTAGTTTTTCAGGCCCTGTATGTCTGTGGTTGTACCAGTAAGGAAAAGCTCTGTCATTCTGAGGTACAGCCAGGGCCTGGGGAACTGTCACTGAGAGAAATGGAGAGGATCTCTTTTTATTCTGTTTCTTTCTTGAAGCTTCTAGCAGCTGGCAATAGTGACACTTAAAACGTGCACTGATTTTTTAACTATTTCTTCAAAGACACTTTCTATCCCTTTTTCTCTCTCTTCTTCTTCTGGTACCCCTATAATGGTGTCATTGTTCCGTTTGGATTGGTTACCCAGTTCTCTTAATATTCTTTCATTCCTGGAGATCCTTTTATCTCTCTCTGCGTCAGCTTCTCTGCATTCTTGTTCTCTGATTCTATTCCATTAATGCCCTCTTGCATCTCATCCATTCTGCTTTTAATCTTTCATTCTTTTGTGTCATGGTGAACCTGATATTTTAGACATTGTAGCTTTTTGAATTTCATTTCTTTCTGGGCTTTTTTTTTTTTTTTTTT